TTAGAATAAATTGTCTTGTAGTTAAGTGAAAAAATATATACTCTTCCGTTTCATGTTTCATGATTGTCATATTTATCCCTTAACCTTAAATTGAAGCATCCGATATTTTTATTCCTGTCAAAACATATAGATACACGCATTATGAATAGAATATATAACACTTCATTTGTGCTAGTAATACTCAGAATTCATGCTTTATCGGTAACATTGGGTATTGACATTAAAATAGTAAGGGGGCTTCTGACGTCCTTGAAGCATGGGGCAGCAAATTACATTATATGTTAGGTCTATTCTTATATCTCGTCTGTGGTACAACTGTACAACCGTCAAAAGAATTTGTCGGTACGTTTATCAATTGTACATATGTAGATTGGGTATCAAAATTCAAGGTGTTTGACTATCTTTCCGTATGAGGCGCGACTTTCGCTACTCGTGACGTAATACGAAATACTCTACAGCCAGAGGTCTGGGGGTCTGCTGTGTGACCTTGCAGTGTTTGTAAACAGACACACGTTGCCGTTGCAAAGTTTGGACGATAGGACGGAATCTGGACTGAACGACGCGTGTCAGCGAGAATCCACCTGGGAAACTTGAAAAGGAGGTTGATAACCAGAGAACATGGAAGTGGAACCTTTGTATATCGCAGAAAACGAGACGGTGAGTCGACAGTTAGTGGGACTCGATGAGGTGACAACGTGCTCGTGTGATGCAAACCTCCATGGAAAACAGGCAACGAGATTACGCGCGGTAAACGGATTAGACTATGTTGTGCAAAGAGGGCGCGTTTACAAAATGTATTCTTTTTTTTGTCAAATGTTTATCGTTCTCGAATCGACGACAAAGGGCGTTGTTTCTTTGGTTTGACGTCAGGACCTGTAGGATCACGGGTTTTGCAAGAGGTTGCGGGGCGAGGGGCATGCACAGCCTGAAGGGTGGCTCATAGCATATATAATAGCTGCGCGGTCTTATGGTAGGGAAGACGTCGGTACTAGAAAGAGAGGACAATAACTGGAGTAACTTTCTTCTCTTTCAAATGGGGCTGTTGGTGGGGGATTCTCTGCGGCGTAGTGGAGGCATTACATGCGTGCAGCATTCCTTCTCTCATCGCCCTCCAGTTGTTTTCTCCCCTTCCTCTGCGATGTGCGAGTAAAAGAGGTGTTACTCCAGTACTAATTCTGTCTTTCGATCTTGATTCATCCCTACTATAAGTCGTGCAGATATTATATATGTACAAGGTGGCTGTTACATGGCGCGCCGTTTCATGATGGGGGCGGCCGTGTGGTCAAGTTGGCGTTCCATGTCGTTGCTTTCTTTGTTGTTTCGAATTCCTATCGACTGATCGCGCCACGTGTCCTCCGCGTTCGTTCTTTCGATTGCCGAACGATGACGTTGCTGTCATCGAACGATCATGTGATCATCAGGCGCGGAATATGCGGGAGCTTATTTTTTTCTATAAAAGGCAGTTCGATATTAGACGATCACAATTAAACTGTGAATCTTTATGCATGGCGACATTTAGTGATAGATACACCAACTTTTCCCTTGCTACAAGAATTTTATTAGATTAACATAAAAAAACCCGCATAAATCAACAGTCTAGCCGTAATTAACATTGTCGTATGTTTGATATCGGTGAATCTATAGTTTTCGTAGTTATCAGTTTGTAATAATAAATAAACTGTACGCGTGAATCAGTTTACTGATATTGATAACACGAGAATATAGAAGAATCGAAGGTTAGCCTTTGTTGTGGACTAACTCGAGATTAGCAATGTAGAAACAAATAACACTAGGTTATTGTTATTATACTGCGTATGTTCAGTGAGGTGCAAACTTGGCTTCCGCGAGGGGAAAAAGTGACCTAGGGGAAGGGCCTGCTACCATTTGGTATTGGAAATGATTGAAATTTATACCAAATTAACATTCAGTTTAATATTTACATAGTGCAGTACTTGTTTCAAATTTACCAAGTGGTATACTACCCTTCAACTACGCTACTTTTTCCCGTCCCAGAAGCCGAGTTTGCTCGCTAGGGTTCATGCAAACACATATTTTTATAGATCCATTAAGAAAAATGAGAATTGAATATAATATATTTGAGAAAATACATTCAGTGAAAGTTGTATTAAGTGTTTTGTTATGTTAAATAAAAATAAAAATTTTAAAACGAAAATTTTGTTTAATGTTATAAATGATTAGTTTGTTTGAAATTTAATTCTAATTCGTACAATCTATTTGCAATGCAATAGTTTTACTTCTATTAGTATTACAATAAAACGAATATACATATATTAGAATGTACGGTATTGTCATCAAAAAGTGTAGTCCTATGTATCATAAAATACGTTTTTAGTACTAGCATGTAGTATGTGTATGTGCTACAACACTATACAGTAATTCTTTCAATGATATTAAATACAACTTTTATTTCATAATAAGACACTTAATGGAAGATATAACTATCTAGTCTGTTCTCATTAGTTTTATCCTGTTACCGAGCCCTTTTCGATCATAATTTAATAATAATCATTATAAAGATACAATTAGACTTTACAAAATCGATCTGACGAAGATCCTGCAATAACATCATGTCTGTAGTTTAGCTTCCACTAAGGATGCACATAATACAGTTAAGAATAAGAATCACTGGTTAAATAAACAGAAGTAACTGTTCAAGAAAGATAAAGTCAAATACGCATAGCCTGTTAACTCGCCTTCCCCATTTACAGATCAATCGATCTAGAAAGATATGTGTGTTACCATAGCACTTACGATCTAGTAACATAACCGTCATTATGAAGTAGGTATTGCGGTAGATAAACTCTCTCCAGAAAACGATGCAAACCACAAATCGTAAAAGATCCATCGTGTTAAATATTAAATAAAATTAACAGATATTTACCGGAATAAGAACTTCGGTGGACTCAGTGAAGGGAACATCAGAACTCCTCGTAACCGTCGTATATCGATCTGTCCGCGTTGGCCTGGAAGAAATGCGCGCGTAAATTTCCCATCCGTCGAGCAGCAAATTTTAAATTCGAAACCCAGGTGCTGCGCGAGCTTCCGTAAATCATCGCCAGACGTCGTGCTCGAGTCGTTTAATGCTACCGGTCTCCACCGTTCGCGGGCTCCGGTACCGTGCACCACGTCCCTGGAACGTTGCGTTCTAGCCCGTCAACTGCGCAGTTGACATAGCCCGCACGTCGCGTAGCACCGGTGAGTTTTCAGCAGACACTTTTTACTCGCTTTTCCATCGTTTCGTTGGCCCTCTATAGCGGCCTGGTCGCGTGTACCAAACGCGGTTCGTTCACCTCGGGACGGGGCCAGTCATCGAATCTAATTTTCCTTCCACCACGGAACATCTTTCTCACATCGTTTCCGAACAGTTAACCCTGTTGATTCTCAGCCGGCTTAACGTACGTCGCACTTGTATTCCCGCCGGTTACGAGTCGAGATTGTTCGTTGTTTATTTCAAAAACGGCCTCGAACATCGTCGAACACGTGAAAACGATTTTGCAACGGTTTAAACGGAAATGCCGGTCGATCGCCGATATCGAAGTCAGATTCGGTCGGCTACCGCGGTACGCCACTGCGCAATTGGACGGTTACGCGTTCGTCGCGAGAGAAAACTGTGTCCTCGTTCGTGAACATTACTTAGATTATGTTAGACTACGTTTATTACATTTTTATAAATTCGTTATTGGCAACAGAGACTGTTGCAAGTCGGATGAGGATCTTCGCAGACAGAACTCTATAGCCAATTTTGGTCTTGTAGGGTCATTCGCGGATGATCGTGGTTTCATACGCTTTCACGTCGAACGACGTACTCGATAGAAGTCGAATGGACATTATTTTTTTGTTTGTACTCAAATTTCGGATAGATGTATTTTGAAGTTAGCGGTAGTCTTTAGAGACTTACCGACGATTAATGCATCATCTGCTTTTGTCAGATCTCTGGAAATGTCAGGTTTTTAGAAATATATGTAAATCTCTTCATTTAAACTAAAGTTGCAGAAAATCCCTGGTAGTGCAGTGTTATAACATTTAAATCTTTCCTGTAACTGTCTAAGAACAACTAGTCATGTTGTCTGCTTTCGTAGTTTGGTATGATGTCGAAGTTTTATTACCCTTTTTTTGCATAAGGAGATACTTGTATAGGGAAAAAAAGATTAGAGAATATATTTGTGAAAACAAGCTATGCCTTGAGGAGATTTCTAAGTGTTAGGTCAAAAATAACCCAGCCATCGGTAATCGTCTTATTGAAACATTTGGTCGTATTTTAGGGTAAATTTTATATGTGAACTATCAAAAAATCCTGCTTACAGAAAATGAACGAATCGAAGTTCTCTAATTACGCAGTAATCTGCCGCCGATGGACGCATTAAAACGATGTGTTGCATTAAATAATAGCATTGAACATGTTGCATGATTCGTGACGGGAACAGTCTCAAAGAAATGGTCATTGTGAACGTGTTAAAAAGGAAACGGTTTTGTTGCGCAGCGTATGTTGACCTCCGGTGATAAACGCTTTTGCGTTTCAGAGCTCGCGGTTTTGTGTTCCGTCCTCGCTTGAAATTTGAGCTGGTACTCGGTGTGGGGAGTTATGTCGTATGTGTATCTTTCGATGATTTTTCATTTTTCTATTTATTCTGTCCATTTATATTATAAAATTTGCATTATTGGATATATATTTATATTAATGCATAACGGTTTGAGATTCATTGAAATATTTTAAGGGACGTTACCGGAGGTAAAATGGAGCAAAAATGTTCTATGATGTCATGTTCCATCAGCCTTCATTTTTTGCTGTAGGTAATAACGCTTCAACCATTTGTGACGCCGTATAACGTTACAGTTACGTACCTTTACATTTCGGTCACTATGAATGTGTTGCTGTGTATGTATTGATTATGATATGGACTTCCAAATAATACTTCTTTTAATAACGCGGGGGGGGGGGGTCAAATTAGCAGTATGATTTTGGAATGGAGAGTAGTTTATAGTTTATGCATAGTGCATGCTGGTATAGTACATTTTAGGGGCATATTTTAATGCATATGCTAATTTGAAAAATCATAAATAAAAGAATAATTTCTATCTTCTGTTCAGGATTGCGTCGTGTTTAAAACGTAAATGTCGATATCGAGTACAAACGAATAACCACGATTCGAAGACTATTTTACAGAAACTAGAAACAAAGGAAAATTAATTTGATCAAATTAGGAGTTCTATTAAGTTAAACGTAAAATGACAAAGTTTCATAATATTTAATAATACCGATTAACACGAAATATTATGGATTTCGAATACTATGTGTAATAGTAGTATTGTAGAATTAAGTGTTGTACGATCTTTTAATGTATTTAATAATATTTATCAAGATCACATTTGGAGGTATTTCATCTCGTGAAATAGGTACGCCGAAACAACGTCTAGTCCGGTCGCCTGCTCGCCATGCTTCGTATCCTCGAAATTTACGCCCCGTCAGTGGATACTGTTTGCAAACACTTTTCAATTCGGAACATACTCCGCGCGCTATTCCCTCGGAATCTCGACACGAGTAGAGCCTCTTTGTTTACTCGCAGTCGCTGATAACGTACCGAATACAGGCGTTCGCGGAAATCAGCGAAAATCCACGGATTTGCCGATTCGAAATA